TATGGTGCGTGTGTGTATGTATATGTGTGTATATGTGTGTGTGTGTGTATATGTATATATATATATATATATATTGGAATTTACGTAGCTTTTACTTTCTGACTGCCTGTCACAGTTCTTGAGGTGCTAAAATGCAAGGGCAGTACAAGCAACCCCTTCCCCCCCCAATTTTAACTTTTTTTGGAAAGTAGACACCACAAGGATTTTGCAGAGGTGCATGTTGAGTTTATGGAATATTTTTTTTTGCCACAGATTTTGTGAATATAATTTTATTTTTTTTACACAAAGTTGTCAACTTAATGTTATATTGCTCATGCATCCCATGGATATATGTGAAATAACGCCCCAAAACACATTCTAATACTTCTCCCAAGTATGAGGATACCACATGTGAGAGACTTTTTGGCAGCCTAGCTACATACAAGCCCCCAAAATCCAATAACCACCTCCAGGCTTTCAAAGGGCATATTTCCACATATCACTTCCCCACCACCTATCAGTTTCAGAGGCTCTAAAATGCCCGGATAGTACGAACCCCCCGCCCCCCCCAAATGACCCTTTTTAGAAAGTAGACACCCCAAGGAATTTGATAAGAGGCATGGTGAGTATTTTACCGATATAATTTGTATCACATGGTTTTGAAAAAGAAAATACATTTTTTGTTTTTTCTTCATTTTCCAAAAACGTGGCAACAAATGAGATCTGCAAAACATTCACCATGCCTCTTCGCAAATACCTTGGAGTGTCTACTTTCCAAAAAAGGTCATTTGGAGGGGTTGCTTCTACTATCCTGGCATTTCATGGCCAACATTAGAAGCTTATGCCACACATCACCCATTCTTGGAGACCAAGCCTTTTCTGACACTTCGTTCACATGAAAACAGTTTTTTTGCTAGAAAATTACTTTGAACCCCCAAACATATATTTTTTTTTAAAGCAGAGGTCCTAGAGAATAAAACGTTGGGTGTTGAAATTTTTTACATCACACAGTATTTGCGCAACGATTTTTCAAACGCAAATCTTTTGGGAAAAATACTTTTGTAGCATTTTAATGCACAAAAACACAATATATTGCCCAATTGTTTCATAAACTATAAAAGATGTCATACTATCACAGGGAATGCAGATATCCCCTATAACTTCAATGGACATTGTCATATATTCATTTTTGAGAAATCTGGGGTCTATCAGATTCTAGATATCTCCTCTGCCCTTACATTATCTAATCTCACCAAGATTGGTGTGATCAGATGCTTTCCTAATGGCGGTTTTTATGTCCTGCGAAATTGAAGTGATGAAATGATTGGAGCCATTCTGGTCTCTGACCAGCTCTATGGTCAGTTTGTGGAACTGTTGGCTGCATTCTCTGATTCCCCTGTGGGACAGGAGAGCCCAAGAAAACTGTGGAAGGCAGCGGGAGGGGAGGGAGGAATGTCCCTTCCTGTGGCTTGTAAAAACAATTCAGCAGCTAATTGACCACTAGGATTGTTTTTACATGAAAGCTGCCTGCCAATTGAAAAAAACGATACCAGGATGATGCCTGTAGCTGCAGGCGTCATCCTGGTATAACCACTCAAAGTCCAGCGACATACCAGTACATTGCTGGTCCATGTTGGACATATGTGTAGCAGCAGAGAACACGGGCATACAATGAATTGGCTCTGTGGATCAATATGACCGCAATTCATTCTTTTTTGTAATGCCCATGTTGAGGGTTAGGCCCAAAAGCGTTTTAAATTCAGAAACCGTGATAGGTTTCCATGTGAATTGTCTGGCAAGAGCTGAATTTGGGTGGGCGGCCATGTATTGTGTGTATAAATTGCCTTGGCCCACAATCAGTTGATACAAATCTTCAGTGAAAAACAGCAGAGGGGCTAAATGCTAGTGCTGCAGCGAACGGGGCTGATCCTGTTAACTCTGCATTTTTGTGAACACTATACAAACAAGGCACTAGTATAGTTCTGTTCATGATCAATGTATTGTTCTGTACAAACACTAAACTAGTAATGGCGGTGATCAGTGACCTATAGCATGAGTGCAATAGTGTGCGGGCAATCTAATGCTGGCTGGGAAGGGAGCTTACTGACCTTGACTTATTTGTTTTTGCTATGTAAATGAAAATGTCCAAAATTTTTGAAAACATGTTTTTCTTATAAAATTTTGCAAATAAATATTTAATCATAAATCTTGGCCAAAATTTATTCGGTTATCTTTTTAGTAAAAAAATAAGCCAAATTAGTTTATGACCAAAAATTATAATTTTTAAAATTTTTTTTTACATTTTTATTTTTTTATATTTATTTTTTTGTTTTTACATACTGTCACCCTAGCAGTACAGTGTCACCATGGTGACACTGTACTACTTTTGTGGGGTGATGAAGATTTTTTTTTTTTTTTTACACACTGATTGCTTTTACACCCATATAAGATGTAAAAGCAATCATTTCTTTTTCTCTCAGTCTGCATTCTTGCAGCCATTGAGAACTACTGAGTGAGCTGTGATTGGTCATAGCTTGTCACATGGTACAAGGCTGTTGTGAATAGCCTTGTACCATGTGACCTCTGATCATTCACAGATTTCACACGTAGTAAGCAATGATGTCACAAGTGACATCTTGCTTACTACTTTGCATGTGATCACTGATTGGCCAATCAGTGATCACATGATCGGGACCTCGTACAGAGGTCCCGTCCGACGATCAGTGTTCCACTGTGTCACAGCGGGCACCGGATTGCGGTGCTGCGCGCGCTCCTGGGGAGTGCGCACAAGCAGGGTGTGGGGATGCCGTTTATAAACGGCCACCCAACCCTGCAGTGCCACCGTCCGGCTGTTTATATACAACGGCCGGTCAGGAAGTGGTTAAATGTGCTAATATAACTCATGCGTGTAAAATGTAGTGGTGCTTTTACTTTGTGCTGTTTCTCTCTTCTGTCCCTGGTGGGTGGGGGGCAGTGGGAGTTGCAGGTGTGTTCACACCCCAAATTAGGAAGTGACGCATGATTACTTCGCTTTGCCAAGAACTGCTTCTTGCCCGCAAAATGCGGATTAGCGGTTGCAAGTAGTTAAAAAAAAAAAAAAAAAAACCTTCAATATGGGTTTTTTTTTTTTTTTTTTTTTTCAATACTTTTCTCAGAATAGTCAATGCTACCATAGTAACATTGTACTACTGTAGTGGGGGTGATCAGGGATTTTTTAATTTTGTTAAATTTTTTTTTACACATTGCTTCGCAGGAGAAATAAAGATCATTTCTCCTGCAAGGCAAAGCTTGCTGCTGTCAGAACCTAACTCATTCACGAACTGTAATGAACGAGTTAAGTTTTGACAGCTCAGGATAGTGAAATGTGATTAGCTGGAGCTGGTCACAGGGTGCTGTGATTGGCCCCATGTATCATGTGACAGCTGTGCGCCAATCATAGCTCACTAGGAAGAGAAGCAGAGCTGTTATGAATGAGATTGATTCAAAACAGCTTTGCTTGCATAGTGATCATGAGATCGCATAGCGATCACATGATCACCGGGTCCTGTTTACCGAGATCTTTATTTGGGTGGGGGGTGGGTTGGTGCGGTGCCCCCCTTGTGCCTTGGGTTAGTACAGCCAGAGCTGTATGCCTGTCAATGTCCATCAGTGCTGTCTATCAGTGCCCATCACTGCAGCCTCATTAGCGCACATTGGTGAAGGAGAAAAATTACTCATTTACAAAATTTTATAACAGAAACTAAGAAAAAAAAAGTTTTTGTTTTTTTTTTTGCAGAATTTTCAGTTTTTGGTTTCAGTGGTGATTAAACCAAGTGGTGATTAAATATCACCAAAATAAAGCTCTATCTATCTAAAAAAAAATTCATATGGGTACAGTGTTGCATGACCGCACAATTGTCATTGAAAGTGCAACAGTGCTGAAAGCTGAAAAATGGCCTGGGCAGGAAGGGGGTAAAAGTGCCCGGTAGGCAAGTGGTTAATATTTGCAAATCCAAATGAAGGTTCCCTTTTTAGAATAATAAGTTGTCGGGTTAGTAAAACAGCGATATCGGAACCGATTTTAGCTTACATACATAGTTGAACTATTCAGATTCTTTCATGTTTTTTTCTCATGGTTACTGTGAAATTGTGTGAATGCATCAATGCAGTGCATGTTCTCAGCTTGCAGAGCTTGGACACATTGAATGAGTTTACTGAAAATGTACATATTGCAGAATATACATCCTCATGCTACATAACTGAGCTCCATTTCATGCTGAATAAACTAATTTATTAATGTATCTTATATAGAATCCTATCTTTAGATAGATTTTTATGCCAAAAGCATTTTATTAAAATAAATTTGATTAAAAAAAAAAATCAGATTTAAATTTCAAAAAATTATTTTTGTTTTAAATCATCGATCTTTATCCACACTGCCCAAAACGTTTATTGCCTATGATAGTTAGCTCAATGTAGAGAAATACCTCAATCAGGATTATACTGCAATATGGCCACTAGATGGAGCTGACTGTCATAGGGAATATATGTTTGGGGCAAAATACAGGATATTGGTGACAACTGAGTGAATGTGTTTTTTTACTTTTTTAAACCAGTGAAGAGATCGGTTTTATTTTGGGGTATTGTTTATTGCTCATTAACCTGTGTGTAAGAAAAATGTACTGTATATACATGCCTCTTTTTGGCTTGCTCCAATCTGTCACATGATTTCAGCCAGCAGCTGTTGCATGGCAGAGGAGAGAGTGTGGACAACAAATGGGCCATAGGTGTCTACAGGTGATGTCATAACTTCAGGCTGTACCAGTTATTGTCAAGTGCTCTATCCTTTCCTCTGCAGCCACTGCTGGCTGACATATAAAGTGACCAGAGCAGAGCATACTGAAAATAGGGAAGTATTGTAGTGTGTAGTATGTACATCTTCTTTTTTTTTTTTTTTTTTTTTACAAAGGTTAAGCTGGGATTCTAATTTAAATAATGTTCTTTTTCATGCCTGTTTCATTAGTATTGTGCTTTGCATATTAGGTTTTGATGGCGGCTATGGTGGCAGCATGGGCGGAGGAGGGTATATGCAGTCACCAGGAGGCTTTGGCTCCCCTGCACCTACACAAGGAGAAAAAAAATCTGTACGTATAAAAATATATTGTCTAGTATATTTGTTTATTCATTGTCTTCACCTGCAGAAGACACTTTTTAAAAGAACAGTCAAATTCTACATGTTAAAAAAAAAAAACAAAAAACTTATGCACTGCTGTGTGTCTGAACCCTCCCCAAAAAATTCATATAACTACAAATTGTGATATCAAACCAAAGAATAGCTATATATACACTAGTCTGCTGTGATATGTATGTGGAACTGCAGCAACGTCAAATCCACTGAAACACAAATGTGATGTATAGAAAAAAATGGCGTGCTGTTGCTTTAAAAATCAAATATGCACAGAGAATGCTTATCTGAAAGATAACATTAGTGGACAAATGCTTGCAATCAGTTGTGACAGTCGTACAACATATGAAAAATATGTCCGTTCTACACAGTATACTGTGATGCCAAACACTAATTCACTTGCAAGTTTCCATACATTGTGATCATTCCTCCAAACACAACATAAATGTGCTTGTGTAAGGGCTCCAAATCCCAGTGCTGCAAATATCCACCTCTAAGTGCAGTGCTTGCTCACTTTAATGTTATACCTAAAAGAAATAGGTCATACAGCGCTTAGATGAGTATCCTTCTGCAGATTGGCTTCTGGCTCTTTGCAGCCACTTCCATATGCGGTCCCTTTGAGACCTCACTTTGCTGGTTCCAGTGTGAATCGAGCTCAAAAAAAGTAATAGCAATCATAGCGCACCCCGTGTAAAGAATAAAACAACTGTTTAATCTGCTACATATCTACTCACAATGGTATAAGCATTAAATCCACCTGAAACATGAAGTTTTCTCACCAAATTTCTGAACAACACATCTCATAATCATGTAATTTCCTCAGGTTCCTTGAGGAAAGGCATTGTATGGACACTTGAAATTAATTTGTGTTTGGCATTACAGTATACTGTGTAGAATGGACTTATATTTTTCGTATGCTGTATGATTATCACATTTGATTGCTAGCATTTTTGCACTTATGTTATGTTTTTGAGATTAGCATTCTCTGTGCATATTTGATTTTTTAAAGGAACAGCGAACCATTTTTTTCCATACATCCCAAAATCTACATGTGATATCAAAGCTATGCAAAAAAAGTACAGTTGGTTATCTTCAAAATGTTATTGCTTAACCCTTTTGCTGCCAGAGCCATATTTGCACACGTTTTTAAAAAATCATTTTAGGCCTGAAGATTACAAAAAAAAACCCCACAACATATCTTTTCTGAAAGCAGGCACCTTAGAGCAGTGTTTCTAAACCTTTTTCCAGTCAGGGTGCCCTTGTAAAGTATTTTCAGTTTCACGGTATCCCTGTCCAAGACTTGGCTCACTTTACTGTGTGTCACAGAATGCACACAAAATCACGCTCATTCCTGACACGCAGGCAAATACTCTGCTTTTTAGGGATGCCATTAATTCTTAATGGTACCCTACGTTTTGGTAAACACAGGGTGTTTTTGGTGTACTTCATTTTAAAGAAGGGTTGCTTGTGACTACCTGCATTTCTTGAGGTAGAGCAGCCCATTGAAATGAATAGGCCACCTTACACACAGCATGCAGCCACACTGATGTGAACCAAGGACTTGTTCACATGTGAGGTTGGAGGACAGTAAAACCACGTGATTGAGCTGTTTTTACCGCCCTCAACTGCTCCCCCTTTAGCTGCAGAAGCTGGGGGGTGTACACATGCTGTAGCCACAGCTGGAATTATACGCCCAGGTGAATAGGACTGCACTGCAACTGTGTGCATTGCACGTGGTTGCGGTGTGGTGATGCTGCATTTACGGGGTAAAACAGGTGGTGAGGCGGTAACATATGGCCTCTGTACTGCAAGTCAAATGCCTCTGAAAAGTGATCTGAGCATGAATTGCTTTTCATAGGAGCGGCAGTCATTGCTATTATAGGAAAAGGAGAACAAGCGCCTTCTAGGTGTAGTGTTTAAAAACGTTTTCAATAATACACCTAGATGGCGCTTATTTGCCTTTTTCCTTGGTATACCTTAGTGATCTTCTGCTCTAACCTACAAGCTGCCTCCTAGTGGACAGTTTTTTGAGCTACCAGGTCTTCTTTGACTTTACTACCCAGTGTTTTTGACACCATTGTTTTCCCCTGTTGCACCCATTTATTGTTTAATTGCTGCTATTATGAACAAACCCTAAAAAATCATTTCTGATTGTATAAGAATAGAAGGTCAAGATTAAAAGTAACACACACAGATACAAACATGTATACAGCACTTTAAAAAGTTGTAGTACATTACCTTCCCGCACATAGCTGGGTACTACACTGTAGGGGGAGGCAGAAAGCACAGCACACACTCCCCCTTCCTTTCCTTTCACTTTGCTCAGCGTATTCAACAGTCTGACTGAGCTCCCAGTGCCGTTGTACAGTTCGCCTTGGGATTGAGAGCTTGGACTCATCTGAAAGCCTTTCTTAACCAGGATGCTGCGGCACCTTGGTTGAGAAAAGCTGCCCTAGATAATAAATTAATGGTAGTTCCAAATTTTTTGTCACATTACCGCAAAGGTAAAAAATTTTCAATAAATACACTAAAGTGAATTTTAGGGCAAACAATTGCAAGAAATTACCCACATTTTTGGTAAAATATAAAAGACGAGGTTGCACCAAGTAAATAGATGCCCAAAATGTCAAACCTTAAATTTGTGTGTGCCCGTGAAATGGCAGCAAACTTCAGTACCCTATATTTTCTATGGGTGAAGCTTCAAAAGCCTCTATAGGTCATCAGTATAGTGTTACGGAGGAGGTCTTGTGCTAGAATTATTGCTCTCACTCCAGCACAGCAATAAGAAACGTGCATTGGTACATGCGGATATGTGGGGTCGGGAGGCCTCATAATTTTGGGAGGGGGTGGCATAGAAAGGTAATGAACAGAAGAGAAGTCAAAATCAAATCACTATTTGGTGTGACTACCCTTTGTCTTCAAAACAGCATCAATTCAAGTCTTCTAGGTACACTTACACAGATCTGTGGATACAGGCTGCCTCAAATCCTTCTATGTAATCCCAGACAGACTCCATGATATTGAGATCAAGGCTCTGTGAGGCCAAACCATCACTTCAGGACTCCTTGTTCTTTACACTGAAGATACAATCCCCAGCTGCTTTATTAGGTACACCTTGCTAGTGCCAAGAAAATATCCCCCCACACCGTTAACACCACAACTAGCCTGAACTGTTGATACATGGCAGGATGGATCCATGCTTTCATGTTATTTATTCAAAATATTGACCCTACCATCTAAATGTCTTCTGACATCAACAAGGTATTTTCGTCCACACAATTACCAATTACTGCATATTTTTTTTTTTTTTTTTTTTGGAGTTCCCTGTAAACCCTAGAGATGGTTGTGTGTGAAAATCCCAATAGATCAGCAGTTTTTGAAATACTCAGACCAGCCTGTCTTGCGCCAATGTCTGCTACGTTAAGTCACTTAAATCCCCTTTCTTCCCCATTCTGATGCTCAGCTTGAACTTCAAGTCATCTTCACCATGTCTAGATGCCTAAATGCATTGAGTTGCTGCCATGTGATTGGCTGATTAGCAATTTCTGTTACCAAGCAATTGAACAGGCTAATAAAGTAGCCGGTGAGTGTAGTTCTTAATGACAGTGGCTGTAGGTCATGGTCCTGCAGTAAAATTAAATTTGGGGCCAGTCACACACCTCCCTTGTGGTACGGCGTGATGGGATAAGTGTGTCTGTATTTCTCAGCATTGAGGACACCACTGATCCTGACTCAATCTCCAACCATTTGCAAAAATGTAGCCCAAAACGTGCAAGGAACCTCCACCATGCTTCACTGTTTCCTGCAGACACTCATTATTATACTACTCTAGCTCTTTGGTGAACAAACTGCCTCTTGCTACAGCCAAACATTTCATATTTTAACTCATCCAGAACACCTGCTGCCATTTTTTTGTGTCCCAGTTTCTATGTTTTCATGCATAGTTGAGTCACTTAGCCGCCTTTCCACGTCAGGTATGCCTTTTTGGCTGCAATTCTTCCATGAAGAACACTTCTAGCCAGACTTCTCCTGACGGTAGATGGGTGTACCTGGGTCCCACTGGATTCTACCAGTTGTACATTGATGGCACTGCTAGACATCTACTGTGAAAGGGAAAAAGCATGATGGCTTTCATCTGCTGCATTAAGTTTCCTTTGCCGACCATTGCATCTACGGTCTTCAGTATTGCCTGTTTGTCTGCTTCTTCAAAAGAGCTTGAACAGTACATCTTGAAACCCCAGTCTCATTTAAAATATTTGTCTGGGAGACCTTGCTGATACAGTATAATGACTTTGTGCCTTGTTACTGTGCTCAGTTTTGCCATGGTGTACGACTTGTGACATGAAACAGAGTTCCACAAGCTCTTAGGCTGGCCATACATTATACAATTATCTTCCAATTTTCTGCCCAATTTCCTTTAGATTTACCTTCAACTGTGTAGTGCAAGGGCCTGCCTAATTGGATACAACTGAAAGTGTTGTTTAGGTTTGTCCTCCTATTATATGGTTTTTATATGGTTGTGTATAATGTATGGCCAGCCTAAACCATATAAAAACCATATAGGAGGACAAACCTAAACAACACTTTCAGTTGTATCCAATTAGGCAGGCCCTTGCACTACACAGTTGCAGGTAAATCTAAAGGAAATTGGGCAGAAAATTGGAAAATAATTGTATAATGTATGGCCAGCCCTAGTAGCAGAATTTGGCTGTTCCTCACCCAGTGTTAAGCCTCCTACACAGCTGTTTCTGTTTCAGTTAATGACTGTTTCAAGCTACATATGAAATTGATGATCATTAGCACCTGCTTTGGTATAATTGGTTAATCATGCACCTAACTCTAAGCCTACAAAATCCCTGACTTTGTGCAAGTGTACAAAGTATAAGAATTGATGCTAGTTTGAAGACAAAGGTAGTCACGCCAAATATTTGATTTGGGTTTCTTCTGTTTGCTCACTTTGCATTTTGTAAATTGCCCAAAAGATAATAAACCATTAAAATATATATTTTGAAATTTTTTTTTTACTAAACTTCAGTTATGAATGGTGCACAGGGAGGGTGGTGGGTGCGTCTGGGGGCAATTACTGTAACCGATCCCCTGTACGGTTCTGTCTGCAGTAGCCTAAAGCCAACAGGAGGGAGAGGAGAATCCGCCAGCTGCTTTTCAGCTGCTGCAGAGCGATCCATACAGGGGATCGGTTTTAGTAATTGCCCCCCCCCCCTGCCCACATCCAAATCACCCAGCTGCCTGAGCCCTGTACAGGAAAACTGGTGGTAGCCCCTTATCCACTGCCCGAGCGTCTGGCTCCTTCCCTTTGGCCAATGCCCCCAATAGCAAGTCGCTTGGTATGGGGGCACTGGTGCCCAGCTCTGTGCATCCATAGGACACAGAGCTGCGACTCGGCAATCCCTCCCCCAACCCCCGGCCCGCTCTCTCCTTATTGACTCACTGGCTGTGGTTGACAGTAGTAGGCGCCAATGGCTACTACAGCTGTATCTCAGCCGATTAGGAGAGAGAGAACCGAGACAGCCGATGCTCCCGGGACCATTGCTGGATTGAGAGCGTGCTCAGGTGAGTATATAGGGGGGGGGGGGGGTGGTATTATGGGAGGAGCAGTCTATGCATGAAGGTACAAACCTTCAGCCTTTACAACCACTTTTAAGACGGGTTGTTTTGAAGGTTAGAGTGTATCTAAACACAAAAAGAAAATGTAATAGAACAGTCCTTAGATGTCAGCTGTATTCATTTTCTTTAGAGCTTACTCACACCAGATGTAGTTGGATACATTTTTGACTGTATTCATACTGCATAGACAGTCCAATATAGGTTATCCTATGAGCATAGTTCACACCATTGTAGTGCAGTAAAATAAAATACAACATGCTGCATTTTTCCACATCAAACATGCACAAAATGTGTTGCAAATGCATCACAACACATCACATTGTACATAAAAGCCCAAAGGAGGACCAAAGTAACCTCAAAGGACAAAACTGCAGGGAAAAACAAGCAGCAACTGCATTTAAACGTGCATAAAAACGTGCACCAACTGCATGCAAATGTGCATTCAAAACCACAATTTTGATGTGTGGTGTTTGTTGTGAATGGGCCCTTAGTCCCCCCCCTTTTTTTTTCCTTTTTGCATGTGGTGACTTGCCAGCAGCACACTTCTTGTCTTAGGGAAGTTACACTCACTCCTCGGCTGTATCTATTTTGAATGTACACCTGTGGAAAGGATAGCTTTAGATATACTTTTAAATAGGTGACTAACAAAGCCTAACTCTCACTAACATTTTTTAAGAATTTAAAGGTACCGTTTTTTTTTTTTTTTTTTTTTCAATTTTGGGATAAAGGTAATAACAAAAGCTGATCATTTTAAGCACCCCTGTCAGTGTTAAATGTTTTGTCTCAGTCAAACTGCCATTTTGCCAGACAGCTTGGCAGGATCAACAGGTGAAAATAAAGGAACAGCCAAAAAAGAAATGTATTGCACATCATCTAAGAACTGGTAAGTTGCAATATAAGTTTTTTTTTTGTTTTTGGGTTTAGATATGCTTTAAATGTCTGGAGTTTAACAGCATTAGTTACAGCATGCTTTAACTTGACAGTAACACTGACTAAAGGCTCCATGTACACGGGATGCTTATAAAACACTTCTGAACGATGGAAACTGACTGCTGGAAAACGTAGGTTAAAAAACATCTGTTTAGCCGTGTTTGCATACCGCGCGTTTGAGTGTTTGCGTTTAGAAGCGTTTTTTTAAAGATCACCTCAGGAGACCTTACAAAATACCCAGAATATGCTGAAAAACAGTAAAAAATTAACTATTTCAGACATTTTGAGAGGAATAGAGAGAGCAGAAGCAGAGAGCAGTATGTGTTGATCACCTGTCTTTTCTGGTTGTATTCACTCTGAATCCCATTATGAGCATAATGCAGCACGTTCTAACCATTTTTTTCCTTCGCACAAAACCTGGAACTGACTGCGCTTGTGTACGAGGTCCATTTGAATGCATGGAAAACACTTTGCATGCATTTCTGATGATGGAAAAAAGGCTCTGGACAGCATCTGGATATGGAACAGTCAAATGCTGATAAAATCTACACATGCATACATATATATATCTATATCTATCACAGTACATCTCGAAAAATTAAAATTGTGTAGTTTAGTCCTAATTGTAATATAAAAGAAACAATAAATACCATGCATTCACTTTTAAGGAGGGCTCTTCTGCCTTATCAGAGTACATTCTATGCTATACTGTTAAGTGGGTATTTTTGTAATTGTACGCTTTGTGGATTCACAACTTGCTCACCAGCATGCTGTTTTTTTTTTATTTCAGAGGTCCAGAACGCAGCAAATTGTTCCCTGTACAGTTTCCCAGTTGCTGTCTGCCACCCAAAGCGATGAACTCTTTAAGATAGGAGAGGTGGAACTTTCGCAGGTGTGTATAAGGAAAGGTGGCAAATGAGGATATGTAAAATATTAATCTGAATATGTCATTAATGTCTAATCCTTTCACACCGTGGCCACAGAGGAGGAAAACTGGTAGGGAATTTGCATTTTCTCCACTCTGCAACAAGTGGACATGGCAGCCAGATGGGATTGTGCACATGCCACAGCAAATTTAACTCTAGATGCTGAGTATAATAGGTAGCTCTGCCTGTCATACTCACATGCGGTAAATAGGGTTAAAACGAGCGCTGGATCTTACAGATTCAAGCTGCTAGCTTTAAGGTAAACCTCGTATAACCTCTTCATAGAAAATAAAATACAGCAAAAAAATGCAGCGCTTGAGTGTATAGTAAGGAGAATTAACATATGTACAACAGACTTAGAATACATTAAAAGTATGACATGCACCAAGGTTTAACGTAGTAAACAGTGGTCGGGTGAGTAATAAAGATTCAATCCAACCAATTTAAGTGCATATAGTGATAGGGATGTTAGAGTATTAGATCTGGGGGTACATCCAAGTGCCAATCAAATCCGTGACTTCTGTGATAGGAGAATAGCGTTAAAAAGCACGTAGCGCAAGTAAAAGCGCATTGGAGTATAATGACTCCTGGTCACAGCCAAATGGTCTTCAGTGTAGAGCCCTCAGGAACACCTGTGCACCACTCTTGCCGTCTCCTACCACCAGGGGAGTGCGCCTCTTTACAGTAACACGAAATTTGCCTTATATCCTCTATCGCCAGGGGTGGTGTGCTTTCATACAGGAGATCACATGGTAATGTCCAAAGAAGTTGCTTCACAGAATCCCAAAAAGATGGCCGACAGTCAGATGCATGAACCAAATTCGTAGGTAACAAGTGGTATGAGAGGTAACCTTATCTCTAACGCGTTTCGTGGCAAGAGCACTTTTATCAAAGGGAAATGTGCTCTTGCCACGAAACGCGTTAGAGATAAGGTTACCTCTCATACCACTTGTTACCTACTTGGTTCATGCATCTGACTGTCTGCCATCTTTTTGGATTCTGTGAATCAACTTCTTTGGACATTACCATGTGATCTCCTGATATGAAAGCACACCACCCCTGGCGATAGAGGATATAAGACAAATTCGTGTTACTGTAAAGAGGCGCACTCCCCCTGGTGGTAGGAGACGGCAAGAGTGGTGCACAGGTGTTCCTGAGGGCTCTACACTGATGACCATTTGGCTGTGACCAGGAGTAGGTCATTATACTCCAATGCGCTTTTACTTGCGCTATCTGGTTAGTGCTTTTTACAGCTATTCTCCTATCACAGAAGTCACGGATTTGATTGGCACTTGGATGTACCCCCAGATCTAATGACTCTAACATCCCTATCACTATATGCACTTCGATTGGTTGGATGAATCTTTATTACTCACCCGACCGCTGTTTACATTAATTTATGTACGTTAAACCTGGTGCATGTCATACTTTTAATGTATTCCAAGTCTGTTGTACATATGTTAATTCTCCTTACTATACACTCAAGCGCTGCATTTTTTTGCTGTATTTTATTGTCATACTCACACATTGAAGTCAGTGGGGCTACCCTGCAACCACTAGCAATCTTTCAACACAAAATCCCTGTTTGACTGAAAAAAAAAAAGTCTGAAAATGGTAGGTTCACCTCCTTGAAGCTGCTGCCCTCTAAAAAGTGATCCAAGGTGGACTGAGTTTCAGAGGTTGGTAAAAAATGATCACCCATGTGAAAGAGGCCTTGCCCAGACAGTACCACCACTGCACTTCTGCTGCAGATTGACAATTATAGTGCTAAATAATTGGGTTTTTACAAGAGCTTTGGAATTGATATTTATTGCAAACAGTATCACTGGAAAATCTCATACAGTTGAAAGTTTCTTAATTTTTGGTCAAGTGGTCCAGTCCATGAGAGTTTGTTCACACTCCTGCACACTCGTACATAGACATTCTGCCATCTCTGAAGTTTACCAAGAATGATGTGTACTATTAGATCCTTTTCAGATCTTTGTGCCCCAATATATATTTGAAAAATGTTTGTCCTTGTAGCGATTCTTGCACTTTCCGCCCCTGCAAAAGAAAGTGACTCTTTGGATGGATGTATTTAAAGCGTTATTTTCAGCTCCGTATATTTATAAATTGGTCACATTGCAAGCTCCTTATCCTTGTGCAACAGCTTTGATCCTCGTGGTATAGAAATTTGTCAAAGTGCCCATATACACTCAAGCTTCTTATGTTCTCTATAACAAACGCTTACATGATTTGTTGACTTTTTAAGTAACAGCAAGTTATCCTAACCCCTGCAGTAAACCAGATTAAATATAAATTATCCACAACATTGTAAATGTTAAAAAAAAAAAAAAAAAAAAAAAAATGGGCATAAGTTTGAGCACCATGTCATTTCTGGATAACAACTGTCTGGCCAGCAAGCAGGCTCAATTTATTTTACAGGGGTGTAGAGATTTTTGAAAAAAAAACTACTTGTCCAGGGACTAAATCGAGGCCCCAATCTACTTGACCTCATGACAATCTACTTGTCCTAATAAAAAAAAAAAAAAAAAAAAAAAAATTTAACTAAAATCGTATTTAAATCGGAGGTGATTTTAGAAATATCTGGGGCTTTTAAAAACAAAAGAGGCTTTATGGCGATTTAAACGTGTAATATTTTTACCATTGTGCTGTTTATCTCCTCCTCTCTCCAGCACAGCACCCAGGGACTAGCAGGGAGGGCAGAGACCTTGCAGTGTGATGAACAATGATTGGCTGCTCATCAGGAAATAGTGGGTCAGGGCTTATACTTTATCCCTTTTGCTGCCAGAGCCGTTTTTGCATTTTCTTGCACACGTTTAAAAAATAATTTTAGGCCTGAAGATTACTTAAAACCCCCAAACATGATCTATTTTCTGAAAGCAGAGACCCTAGAGAATAAAACAGTGGTAGTTCCAATTTTTTATGTCACATGATTTTACCGTAAAATGTTAGTAAGAAATACAGTAAGTTAATTTTTGGACACAAAAAAAACAATAAATTACCCTATTTTTTTGTAAAATATAAAAGATGAGGTTGCAGCGAGTAAATAGGTATCCAGTTTGTCAAACCTTAAATTTGTGCGCGCGCTCGTGAAATGGCGACGAACTTCAGTCCCCTATTTTCTATAGGTCGACACTTTTAAAGCTTTTTATAGGTCACAAGTTTAGTGTTACGGAGGAGGTCTGGTGCTAGAATTATTGCTCTCATTCTGGCATGTGCGGATATGTGACGTGTATTGCAATTGACGGTTTCATGCGTAGGCGCTCCAGCGTGTGCTTTTTACCTTTGTACGTGCGTATATGTGAGGGCCTCAGTATTTTTTTTTGGGGGGGGGGGGGTGGTATGTGCTTGGGTGTAACTTTTCATTTTTTACAATAAAACAAAACAGAAAAAAAAACACAACTTTTTTTTATCACATAGGGGAATGTGATGATTTTTGGTGACAGATTCTTTGAGACATCCAAGGTCTAAAAGACCCTGCATGTCTCCCCTCTGCTCCACTGAATGTAATGTGGACCTGCGCCATATTACATTCATTCCCGGGAATTGCATTAATCTCTCCAACGGGGAACCGGAAGTGACATCGTAACATCACCTCCGGGTCAGTACAAGAAGGGGAGTGGAGTGGACTTGTCCGCTCTTCTCTCTCTAGCCGATGGCGAGCCGGGCCCGCAGATGGGCAAACTGAGCCCGGGAAACCTCACGCCCGGGGCACGGAGAGGCTGGCACTGTGTGAAAGCAGTCAGCGGCAGCGCTGCTTTTTTTCCTGCAATGTACGCAATAGAAAAACATAAAAGGATGCAAACATATTGATTTATTTTATGTGGCCTTCAGAGGATTTACCCCCCCCCCCCCCCCCCCTTCTTGACCAGGCCATTTTTTGCTGTTCGGCACTGCATTTTCAACTGGTAATTGCGTGGTCGGGCAATGCTGTACCCAAACTAAACTTGTCCCTTTTTTCACACAAATAGAGCTTTCTTTTGGTGGTATTTGATCACCTCTGCGGTTTTTATTTTTTGCGCTATAAATAAAAACCTATATTTTTCACTTTTGGTTATAAAATATAATCCAATAAACTCAAAAGTTAGTCATAAATTTGGGCTTAAATGTGTTCTTTGGTAAAAAAAAAAAAAAAAAAAATCTCTATACGTGTATATTTGTTTGTGTGTAAGTTATAGTGTCTACAAACTATGGTGTGTATATATATTAGAATTTATGTAGCTTTTACTTTGCCTGCCTATCACATTTCTTGAGGTGCTAAAATGCCAGGGCAGTACATAGAGGCATGGTGATTATTTTACAGATGTCATTTTTGTCACAGGGTTTTGAAAAAACATTTTTTGTTTTCTTCGTTTTCCAAAAACGTGGCAACAAATGATATCTGCAAAACACTCACCATGCCTCTTAGCAAATACCTTGGAGTGTCTACTTTCCAAAAAGGGGTCATTTGGATGGGCTGCTTCTATCCTGGCATTTTAGGGCCAACATTAGAAGCTTAGGCCACACATCACCCGCTCTTGAAGACCAAGCCTTTTCTGACACTTTTTGTTCACATGAAAATTAGTGCTAGAAAATTACTTTGAACCTCCAAACATGTATTTTTTTTAAAGCAGAGTCCCTAGAGAATAAAATGGTGGGTGTTGAATTTTTAAACATTGCACAGTATTTGCGCAGCGATTTTTTCAAACGCAGATCTGTTGGGAAAAACACTTTAAGAATTTTAACCCACAAAAAACGCAATATATAGCCAATTGTTTGATAAATTATAAAATATGATGTTACGCTGAGTAAATAGCTGCCAAACATGATATGCTTTAAAATTGCGCATGCCCATGCAATGGCCAAAAAGTATAAACATTTTTATTATCGATAGGCGATGCTTTAAAAAACCTTTACAGGGCACCAATTTAGATTTACAGAGGAGGTCTAGTGCTAAAATTACTGCCTTCGATGTGTCATTCGCGGAAATACCTCACATGCATGGTGTAACCGCTGTTTACATACTGCCACGGGGTCAACGCTTGCACTTTTTTAAATTTTTTTATTTTTTGTTTTTCGATCACTTTTAATGCTATCACAGGGAATGCAGATATCCCCTATAACTTCAATGGGCATTGTTTTATATATTCTTTTTTTTTTTTAGAAATCTGGTGTCTGTCAGACTATAGATTTCTCCTCTGCCCTTACATTATCTAATATCAACAAGATCGGTGTGATCAGATGCTTTCCCAACTTACAAATGGCTCTGTTTAAATCCTGCGAAACTGAAGTGATGAAATGCTTGTAGCTTCCGATTTCTTAGACTATAGAGATGATTGGAGCCATTCTGGTCCAGCTCTATGGTCAGCCAGCGGAACTGCCGGCTGCATTCTCGGATTCCACTGTGGGACAGGAGAGCCCAAGAAAACTGTGGAAGGCAGCAAGAGGGAGAGGGGGGGGGGGGGGGATGTTCCTTCCCACTGCTCGTAAAAACAATTCAGCAGCGAATTGGCCACTAGGATTGCTTTTACATGAAAGCTGGCCGCCAGCTGAAAAAAATGGTACCAGAATGATGTCTGTAGTTGCAGTCATCATCCCGGTATAACCACTCAGTCCAGTGACATACCAGTACAGTGCTGGTCCATGTTGGACATATATGTAACAGCAGAGAACACAGGGCATACAATGAATTGGCTCCGTGGATCAATATGACCGCAATTCATTCTTTTTTTGTAATGCTCATGTTGAGGGTTGGGCCCAAAAGAGTTTTAAATTCAGAAACCGTGATAGGTTTCCATGCGGATTGTCTGTCAAGAGCTGAATTTGGGTGGGTGGCCATGTATTGTGTGTATAAATTGCCTTGGCCCACAATCAATTGATACAAATCTTCTGTGAAAAACAGCAGAGGGGCTAAAGGCTAGTGGTGACAGCAAACGGGGCCGATACTGTTAACTCTGCGTTTTTGGAGACACTATACAAAGGAGACACTGATATAGTTCTGTACATGATCAATATCTTGATCCATACAAAACGCTATGCTAGTAATGGCAGTGATCAGCGACCTATAGTGTGAGTGTGTTGTGTGCAGGCAATTTAACGCTAGCTGACCCTGGCTGGGAGGGGCGCTTACTGACCCTGGCGCTATCTGATCTCGCTAGTGGCAGGAATACAGCGATCAGTGAAAAATTCTATATACTGACACTGTACTAATGGTACTGGCTGGGTGATGGGGTGATCAAAGGGTAAATGTGCTAATCTAGTGTGTGTGTAAAATGTAGTGCTCTTACTTGGTGCCGTGTTCTCTCCTCTCTCCCTGGACCAACGGGTTGCTTACATTGTGATCATGTGATCACATAGCTATCTCATGATCAACGGGATCTTCATTCGGCTGTGTCCGCTGGACACAGCAGTCGCGAGGCGGCACACCCTGGTGTTAGTACAGCCAGAGCGGTTGCCGCAGTTCATGGCGGGCGGGAAGCGGTTAATGGACTGGAGATGCAAAAGGATATAGACATCCATCTGTTTACATCTTTCCGCCTTTAGACATACATTGTGGTTTAGTCTGGATCCGTCTAAAAAAACTGACAGATCCAGAACGAACACTCTTGTAAAAGGGCCTTTTTTCTGAGTCACTCCAGTTTTTAAGTGATGAGCTTAATCTGAGAATAGCTTACTGCTCTCTTCCAAATTGAAAGACCATTTTGTCTTTGATTGTTGCAGCATGCCCCGCTGTGAAACTAGAGGGTCAGCCTGGTGCTTTTACCAGTGATGTCTCCAGCCCTGGATCACTTAAAGCAGTATTAACCAAAAACAAAAATGTAATATATTGCAGTGTATTATTCGTTTAGGTAAAACCTTTGTACCATAAAGAAAAAAACTATTGCTGAAACTGCTTATAAAGTGTTAGATGGAATTGACAAACAAAAGCTGAACTCCAGCTAAGTCTGATTTTCACATTTGTGATCTGCAGATTAGTCATGCATTTTCCTGCGGCACATCCCTTTTACAGACACATGACAATACCACTGCTTTTTAAAAATACATGCCAGAACACATGGTAACAAAGTACCATGCAGTTTGATGCGGCACCATTTTTAAAAAGGTCAGGCATTTCTTTTGTGTACCCCTCACACATAGGGCAGCCATTTTGAGCTGCCCTGCAAGTAACACCAACATCGCACATGAGGCACTGCTTAATTTGAAATCCAATCGGTGCACTGCCAACCAATTTAAAACTGATGTCCAGCCACCAAACAAACCTTGGCTAGAAATTTGGAGTTGCGACTATAGCGCAGGTTAAAACTAAGATGACAGGGTACTTCTGTCTATATTATGTGGCATTTCAATTGGTACATATTCATGACTCATTATACCCTGTTCCAAATAATCCTTGTACCACTACAGAAGCGGCTATTGCCTCTTCAATGAAAACCCTACATATAATCTATCGGGGTAAGGTACTTTCTTACCCAGGGACCACAATACTTAATACTGCACTTTCTTTATTTCAAATGGTTGTAACTCATATCACTCAGGACCCTTGGTAGAAAGTCACCTAATAACCCCCTTTGGTATTATCCCACTTTAGGTTAAACTGGCTCTATACCAGAGCCACAATGATGACCGTCCTACAGGATTAAATACTGTCATCTAATATATATAGGACTCTGGAAAAATGCTACGCCTGTCTGACTCTACTAAGCTAGTCTCTAATTACTACTCTCATGACTGGTTATAACACCAGGTTTGCCACTGCTCAAGCTAAATGGGCTTCATTGGACATCTCATTTACTGAATCTGGTTGGTCTGAATTTAAAGACACTTACAATCCCTCTTGTTATTTCTTCAAAAGATAGAATTATTCAGCTCAAAAAGTTTACACCCAGAAGCTACCTGTTTTAGGGGCTCAGTTGGCTGATTTCCTCCATTACTTTTGGTTCTGTCCCATGGTTCAGGGGTTTTGGAAGGAAGTGGACTTCTTTCTCTCCTCTGCATTGGGTCTTCCTATTGTACTTTTCCCTTTCTTAATATGCAAAACTACTGCGTATTTTGTACTTTAATGCTAAAAAGGTAATTTTAGTGTCCTGGAAGGGGGTCACTCTTACCTGTATTGCCCCAATGGCTTAAACCTATTAATGACTCACTTCCTTTTTATATAGACTTGCTTTTGAAAATAATAAGAAAAAAAACCTAAATTGTTTCATAAACTGTGGGCAGCTGAATCTCCAGTCCTCACACTTTAGCTTCTCTAGATGCAGACTACTGAAACTTGTTTCTTATACATGCATACTTGCATTTTTACATGGGAGTGTATGGTCCTATTACTTGAATATTTTTCTAATGTTGTGTGTATTAATATTTTCTATTGTGGGACCCTGCTAGGGGCATTGTTGGGAGTTTTTTGTGAGGTTTCTTGTAGCTCATTGTGAAAATGCAAGCCTAGGATGGTGTAACTCCCGTACATGTAAAAGGGAGTTAATTCATCTTTGCACCAAGGCATGCTGAGAAAGTACACAGCTGTGCAGGCAGGTTAAAATTTACTGCAGGTGAGACCTAATATGCCTCCTCTGCAGTAAAACACCTACCTGATATTTCAGCCTAACCTTTGGGACTAGGTAGAAAATGAAGGTGCTTTTGCAAACCTGTAGGTTTCTGTCAAAGTAACAAAGTTTATTGTTTCTAGTGTTTTTTGTTTTTTTTTTCCTCAGATGTCTTACAGGTTTTTTTTTTTTTTTTTTCAGGTTACGATAGTTGGCATAGTGAGACATGCAGAAAAAGCACCAACAAACATCTTGTATAAAGTAGATGACATGACTGCAGCTCCGATGGATGTCAGACAATGGGTGGATACTGATGTAAGAATTAGATTAAAAAGTATATACACTCGGTATATGATGGGTTTTTTTTTTTTTTTTTTTTTTTTTTTTTTTTAGTGTGTGTTTGGCCTTACAAATATAGATCTTTCTATTTCAATAAAATGACAGATCTTGCAGCTGGTGTAGCAATGAACTATGGAAAGGTTGTACATAGGAAAACAAAGAAATGTTCCCTTTTATAGGGAACCTGTGAGTTTAGGAAAATGGGATATCTCTGCTTACCCCATGAAGGCCCTGGTGCTGTCTTCATGGCTTCAATGCTTAGTGAATACATGACCTAGATACCATGGGCAGTGGAGACCTTTACAGTCTACACACTTGTTCAAAGTGTTTGATACACTGGCTTCAATAGCTAGAGAAACAGTCCCTGCACATTCAGCAGTACCATCTTCCATGTTTCCATAAAAGTTAACATTGTCAAGAGATCCATTGTCCAGTTTGGCTGATTTTACATTTGTTGATAGCAGCCATCTGTCAGCAGTTCTCTGTAATAGCTAATTTCATGAATTTCTTATGGCACGCTTTAATGGCAAGATATTGAAATATAGTGGTCTTAGTGTACTTTGTGATATAAAAGCTAAAAATGAATTGTAAGGGTTTACATACGCTTTAATTTGCTTCATAAATATACCATTAAAAGCATTACATTATAACTTTACAATAAGTGCAAAAATTCAGTTGATCCACTGCTGCTTGAGAGAGGGCTCCTCAGTGGCCCCAAAGTGATGTACACATTTGCTGGTAAATAAGGTTTAGTTACTGTTTTGCTACAACATTGTGCTGGTGTACATTTCTAAACTTGTGGGCTATGTTTTTGATGGTGCCACCCATCAGCTCACCTTAGCACCTGATTTTACTAAGGTCTATGTCTAAAAGGAGTGCACTGGTTCTTACTGATTGTTGGGTTTTATTGCTGCCTACAGGAACATTTTTACCCTGGCAAATAAAACAATTGTGGCCAGCTTGATATGCCCCCTCTTACTCCAAGCATGTCTTATTTTTTTTGCTAGTGTCTCGGGTCTCAAAACAAACATTTTGCTGGATATTTTGTTTCTTCAGTCAGGATTCCTGTTCAAGCTGCTATAGCTTATCTCTATATGGAGCTGTCTGGATCGGCTTGTCCCCAGCAGTAGCATTGGAGGCTGTACCCTGGATGATGCTTGACTGGATGATTGTGGGGCTAGCCTGATGAAATGTGACCTTTTGGGCACTGGGTTCTGCATTTTTGCACTTTCCATACCTGCATATACTGTTAGCCACAGTGCTTAATTTGGTTTACTACAGAAGGGGTTAAAGCAAAGAGATGGATTGTTGTCAGTTATATGGAGCTATGCCTATGGGGCTTTGAAAATACAAAAATCAAAGTGGCTGTCTCACTTTGTGTGGCAACATTACCACATTATTAAAACGCATACATTTCTGGCCCAAAAGGCCGTGTTAGTGTTTTTTTTTTTTTTAAAAACATAAAACATCCTATTTAGATTATCTATTGATGCCATATTTACCCATTAGAGAGTAAAACAAAGTTAGTATTTTTTTTTTTTTTTTTGTGCAGGACATTTTACCCAAAATACTTTTGCTTACTCAATATCTTATACCATTGTTCCTTTTTTAAGTCTACTGTGTCTTTCTACAAATACATCAGGGTGGTGGTGTTTTTTTTTTTTTTTTCTTCTTCCAGGAAGCAAGCTGTGAAAATGTAGTTGTGCCTCCTGGAAGTTATGTGAAAGTATCAGGTCACCTTCGTTCCTTTCAGGTAATCTAGCTGTGCATAATTTTGGATATGCATTAACCCTTTCACTGACAGTCATTTTTTGCATTTCTTTTTTTTTTTTTTTTTTTTTTTGTAACGTGTATCACAATCAACTTCTTCATGCGTAGGTGCCAAGCTGTGTGCATTTACATTTGTCCGTGGGGGTGAGGGTCTTCAAAAATTTTGAGGGGGGAATTTTATGTGCTTGGGTGTAACTTTTAACTTGTTGCCAAAAAAAAAGTTTGTTTTTTTTTTTTTTTTTTGGTTTTTTTTTTTTTTTTTGTGTGTTTTTTCCATCACATGTGGTGATTTTTGGGTGACAGGTTCTCTTTGAGATATGCAGGGGCTAAAAGACCCTGCATGTCTCCTCTGGTCTCCATTCAATGTATTGCATTGCAAACTGCATTGCAATACTTTGCTTCTCGGCTGTGCTAGCCAAGAAAGTGACAGCAGTGACCCGGAAGTGACGTCACACACATCACCTTTTCGGGTCGCAAAGAGAGGAGAGCTGACGGGGAGGGGAAGCAATCGGGCGGCAGCGCGGCCACCTGACAGGCAGGAGTCTGCCTGTCGGTTTTATACACAATCTCCACCTTTACATCATGTTACATGATACACTCCTATTTACACATGTTGTTGTGCACCCCAACCCTCACCACCTGAGCAGCACACTGGTAGTCCATTGACACTTCCTGCAGCTCAGTAACTGAAAGCTCATACAGAGGTATGGACAGAGAGCTGTAGGAAGTGTCTGCATTTAACTGATCACGGGTGCAATACTTTGCAGACTCCTGTGTTTAAATTAAAAGCACATTTTTCCCACAAAAACTTGTGGTGTTTTTATTTTTTTAAATAAAAAATGATTTTTGCCTGGCTGATATGCTTGACCATATGGCTTTCTGGATCTTTAGGGCTAATTCACACTAACCGCTGTTACTACAGTGCTACAGTGGGATCGTAGCAAATCGCACTGTTCACTTTTTATTTGTATTTTTTCCCCTCCCTAAACTAATTTTATTATTAAAATGTCATACAGTGACAATTCATTAGGAGCCTTGGACATTGCTGCATTGAAAAAGTACTACCTTCAGTATTTTATCACCGCAATACAGCTGTGTGAACCACTTGCCGTGGGACTGTGTTGAAATAGCAGCTTAACACAGTCCCACCGCACCTGGTGTGAATCGACCCTAAAGGTCACCAGAATAGATATGTAGTTTTGATTTTACATTTCAATTGCTGCACATATGTGACTGCTAGAGGTAGCTGGACAACTAACATTTTAAAAAGAGGGCCACTGTGGCATCATAGTTTTCTCAGTATTTCTCTCAATTTCTTTCCAGTAACCAGATACTGAGCCAGAGTCAACACCCAGGAAACAGGAACAGACCTGCCTTTTTACCATTGATTTGATGAAACGTTTTTCATTATGATATTGATTATATTTTAAGATTCATTTTTTCTGTTTTGTAGAATAAAAAGAGTGTAGTTGCTTTTAAGATTGCTCCTGTTGAAGACATGAATGAGTTTGTGTCACACATGTTGGAAGTTGTTCATTCTCATATGAGTCTCAACACTCAGGTAAGTTCAGGTTTTATCTGGGCTTATTTCATTCTCGGTAATCAACCTCACCATACCCCCCAAAGTGCGCAAATGTTAGATACGTTAACTGTATAACTGTGCCTGGTAAAGAATCATAGGGCTGGACTTGCCTTTTCTGGAAAAAGTACTGGTCCAGGCTCACTTCAGTGCTGACTACATGACTGGAAGCCTTTGGTTATGTGATCTTTACTGATGGGGAGGCTGTGTTCAGACTCGCTGGCAAAAATTGTCCTAGGCTTTTGGTACTCAATAACCACTTGCCCTCCAGAGGATTTACCCCCCCCCCCCCCCCCTCCTGACCAGGCCATTTTTTGCGTTACGGCGCTGCGTTACTTTAACTGACAATTGCGCGGTCATGCAATGCTGCGCCAAAATGAAATTTACGTCTTTTTTTTTTTTTCCACGAATAGAGATTTCTTTTGGTGGTTTTGATCGCCTGTGCGTTTTCTTTTTTTTTTTTTTTTTTTTCTCGGTACTGAAAAAAGACAATTTTGAGGGAAATAAAATGTTTTTGACTTTTTGCTATTCAACATGTCCAGTAAAAAAAAAGTTAAATCAAATTCCATCATAAATTTAGGCCAAAATGTATTCTGCTACATGACTGCTAAAAAAAAAAAAAAATCCCAATACCTGTAAATTTATTGGTTTATGGTTTTGTTTTGCTCTGCAATCACCGGGCGCCAGCGAGTTATCACACAGCCGAGACCCGGTGATTGACCGCCGCGGCCTCAAATGGTGACGTGGGTAAGGCACATGTCCCCTACCCGGAGATGCAAAATCACGTATTTATACGTGATTTTGCACACAGCTGCTGCCCTGTAGCAGTATTTCCGCTATGGATCGGAGCTAAAGCTGTTAACTATCCCCCCTAAGTCTGTCATACCGTAGGTTTAGGCACACTATCAAAGGTTTGAACACCTGTAAGGTTTTAATTGCTATCTGGCCCCGCTGGGGAGACTTCTTCATATGTTGGTGACAGTGTTATCGAGTGACAAGACATTTTATTGTACATTAAAAAATTAGTTATTCGAGGTTCAGAACAGTGCAAAGTACTTTTTTATTTTTTTTTCCCCATAGCCTGGGGGCGGTGGGTCATCTTTAGCACTCAGTACACCTGGTCGCGTGGGCATGGATACTGGCGGCAGCTTCTCTGGAGGAAATGATATGCATACAAATGGACTGACACCCCATCAGAGCCAGGTTTGATAACCCACATCTTCATATTTTTTCATAAATCTTACTGTCTGCTGTTAAGTATTCTGGTGAAAATCGATTTGAATACATTTCACTTGGTAATCCTTATAAATCATGTTTGTGTTTTGGCTGTTGTAGAGCTAGACTTAAAATGTAAAAATGTTTTCTTTTTTGTGTAAGATTTTGAATCTAATAAGAAGCTGTAAAGGAAGTGAAGGCATGGGCTTTGAAGATCTAAAAGCAAGACTGCATGGAATGAATGTGAATACTATCAAGTAAGTATGGGCAATATGGTGCTAAAGATGAGACTCTGTAAAGCTATACAGCATCTGGGTATTTGTAAATGAATGTCAAACATGCCTCTGTTGCTAGCATAGATGTAATTTTCTGTTGCCAAAAGAAACCGTGATTTTAATATTACATTCCTGAAGAAACAGTGTGTCACAAACAGCCTCAGCTTAGAGTATGTTCTGACATGTATCTGCCATGCAGTGCTTTCTGTGTCTGTGAATGCTGTGACCTCTGAGGCAGAGCATTCACAGAAAGCTCACTGATGCAGCTGGAAAACGTGTTTTATTACATCAGCACTCCCACATTTGTAATGTATTACAAAGTGGGTAATGAGGTGAGCATTGGACGCTAGGACCTAAACATGTGAGCCCATCATTATAAGGAGGACAAATAGAGGAGTGAAGGGGTTGTTATACCACATTGCAGAGAATCACGAATGTGATACGAACACTTGGATATAGTTGTGTTGGAAGACTTTGTACATTTGCATATATATTTATAGCTTTAAGTGGAGCACTGCACAGTTTTTGACATTTTATATTTATATTAACACATTTGTGTGAGTGTGTATGGTTGCAAGCAATCTGCTAATATTCACATAGGGTAAATATTCACATATTGGCACTAAGTATGTGGCATAGCAGCTCACAAGCTTTTATTTCATTTGTACAATTGACAGTAGTTGTTTAGCGGTTCCTGTCAGCATTAACATCAGGTTCAAGACAGGATTAGGTCACGATTTTATCCTGTTCACACATTTGTGGTTTAGAATCGGTTCCCATATAAGTCAATAGCCTGTAATCTGCACCTGAACCTGATGGCACTGCTCAGAAATTGTACAGGACTCTTTTTCAAACCGCACTGAATCTGCATTGCCAGTGCACTGGACATATGTGAACAGGCACCATAGGAAGCAATGTTATTTCACATAGCATGCGGACTGGATGCAGATCAAACCGCATCCAGTCCACATATATGAACCGGCACTAAATGGTTCCAAAGGAAAATGGACAAATTCAAGATCGTGCTTGGTTTGACTCCTCATCAACCTCTCCATGCCAGGATGTTATCTGGTTGGAGTACTAGGTTGTAAAGAGTGTCTGGTACCTAAGGTGTAATAGCAGCTGTGCCATGCTATTAGTAAATGAGCAATACTAACCTGTAATACGGTAAAATAACAAATATAAATAAATCCCATCTTCTATGCATCATATCCAATAAACATGTATAGAAATAAAACTGTTACCTGAATCAAATACTAGTGACAAAAAAAAACATCACCAGCACAATTGTGAGAAATTCTGTGTGCTCCGTGAACTGCACTGAGCATTGTGAGGCTTTGCCATTGTGACAGATGTCAGCAACACTGGGTTCTTAAGAACGCAGTTGAGGGGCTCCAGAATGTCAATTCTGAGCAGTTCTGGTTTTTGTGATTCCTGGACCAGAGTCTGGAGCTCAGGAGTCTTTGAAGTGCTGTGGGTGGGATGAAACCTCCAACAAAGTGTCCAGGTCTTACTGTAGACCAGCAGCCTGAGGGTGTGGCTGTCCATACCTGTTGTAAGCTAGGATGCAACAGTAGATCGGTGCCCCACCCAAGAGACAGGATGAGCTGGCAGTGAAAGAAAGAGGGGGGGGAAAAACCCCTGACAGGCTGGGTGTACCAAAGTTGACCAAAGTTGACTGAGCAAGCCTGCCATACATGGATTGAAACTTTGGCCAGTTCTTTCTGAACTGGCTGAATATCGGTCCGTCTGTGTCTAGCTGGTTTAAGAGCTTGATTATAAGATTATAAAAGGCTTATTAATGGCATACTCCTTTCAGCTGGGGAAAAGTTTCCTATAAATCGATATCCTCCTTAAATCGCTGCTTCCTCGATATCAGTCTTCTAAATACTCAGTATGTCAGAGGAAACAAATTGCTAGTGTTCACTATAAATTTTAAAATCCTTTTATTAAAAAAAAGAAACATTTCACTCACACAATACTGTGCTGGTGGTTTTGTTATGGCATGAGAAGAAATGTTTGGATACATTGGGGGATATTTACTAAAACTAGTGCACACAGAATCTGGTGCAGCTGTGCATAGTAACCAATCTGCTTCTAATTTCAGATTGTTCACTTATGCAGGCCATAGATGGGGAAAAAACGGCAGATTTTCGGCCGATTAACGAACTATCGGTCGGTCTAAAAAACTTACCTGACCACCAATTATTACGAAAATCGGCCGATTAATGAGTAACCTATAACGGGAAATGATGTCATTTTGTGGCCTTTGTGATCCTTTTTCGGAAAACGATCGTTCGTTTTTGACCATCAATGAGGATAAAGTCGGGCGTTTTTCGAAAATTTTCCAACATCACCGATAATCTGAAAGTCCAAAATACACGAAAAAACGGCCGACAAAATCGTCCACTAACGCTAAGATAATCGGCCGGTTTTTATTTTCGGACGAAAAATCGGCCGTTTTTCTCCCCATCTATGGCCTGCATTAGTCCTCGTGCACACTGGTTGTTTTTATAGCTGCTTTTTTTTTTTTTTTTTTTTTTTTTTGGCTTCTGGCATTTTTTTCTACAACCAGTAAACTCCCCAGCATGTTATTCTATGTGTCCGTGCAGTCCATGTTGTCAGCGTTTTTTTGCTGGAAAAACCCCAGAACTAGTGGGTTTCTAGAGGAGTTTTTAGCTGTAAAAACGCTCTTAACGCAGCAAAATTCAAGAACAATACTGCTTTACCATTCATGTCTTTTATTGGTAATGTCTATTTTTTTTTTTTTATCTGCCGGTCTTTAAAAGTGAAACTTGCCCCTTTTGAGAGAGTTTTTTTTTTTTTACTTTAGCAGTATAGCGTTGATTGCTTTACCACATTAGCAATTTACTAGTGGCTCTTGTTCCCTGAGATGCTCTTCAATGTCCATCCGACCAATGTACATCTTGTCTCTGCTGTTTATTAACACCTAATATTTCTTTTTTTTTTTTTTTTTTTTTTTGTTTAAGACAAGCTTTGGAGTTCCTCAGCAATGAAGGTCATATTTATTCCACTGTAGATGATGACCATTATAAGTCAACAGACGGTGATTAATACTTCGAATGGGAACCAAGAGAGGACGAATAGTGACTTTAGAGAAGTTTTGGTTGATTGTGAGAACAGACTACGACTGCTGGCATTTGGTTTGCTTTTAGCCAGCTATGCATAGTATGTTGTCCACTACTTTTATTACTAAAAGATACATACATGATTACATATAAAACCTGGGAAGGAAATGGTCCATTTGCACGCTAAACTACCAGTTCAGTTTTAAGTGGAAAAAATATTTTTGCTCTGCCAGTACTGGCGCCTGTAGCAACATAAAAGGATAATATAACTTGGCCCCACTTTTTAGATGTTAGGTATGAGACTTGTATATGAGCTGACTGAGTGGAGTGGATGCCATTATTCACAGTAAGAACAGCTATTTACAAGCTGCTCACCATGATTAATAGTCTTCCTTATAATGGTTATATTGTGGATCCAGTTAAACTGTTTCTTAAAGTTTAACTGGGAGCCTTATGCAGGCAGCCATACTGGTATTGTGTGGGTAACTCTTGAAATGCTATGGAAAGCCGCATTTTCCATTTAGATTTGCAACCACCTTTTAATGTCTCTAGTTCTCTAATATGTTTTCTGTTGTGTACAGATTTGTATTCATAAGGATAGTACTCATAGTTGTTTTGTACTGGGACACAAGGATTTATTTTTTTTCTTTATTTTAATATTGTGTAGTTTCAGTTGAACATTACCGACTTTAAAATGTGTAAATAAAACGTAAATTATATGGATGATATGAATAAATGAGGATTTTCTGTTTGTTCATGGTTTTTATTTTATTTGAAACTGCACCATCCAGGTGAAAAGTGTCAGAGGAACCTGGCTACATACAGGAACTTCCAGCAAGCACCCTGAATAAATGTATTCTAGAGGATTGACATCATTAGTGTGTGCCCTTCTTTGTGAGGACATTGTGATACACTAGAGCAGGGTTGAGCTTTTTAATTCTAGACCAGGAAGGACAAGAGTTTGGAGGTGTGCTTTACATAGTAGATGCTACAATAGTGCTTGTGTGTATGGTTCACTCCTGAGGCAGATAACCAGAATATAGCACTGGCAGAGCTGACTACGCTACTAGTTTCCTTTTTATAGATATTGTGCAGTGACCGCTATTGTTATGAGCATAATATTTTTACAGCTGAGGTTAACCACTCAGGGATATGAGGAGATGCACTATATTGCCAAAAGTATTGGGACGCCTGCCTTTACATGCACATGAACTTTAATGGCATCTCAGTCTGTAAGGTTTAATATTGAGTTTGCCCATCCTTTGCAGCTATAAAATCTTCAACTCTTCTGGGAAAGCTGTCCACATGGTTTAGCAGTGTGTCTATGGGAATGTTTGACCATTCTTCCAGAAGCACATTTGTGAGGTCAGGCACTGGTGTCGCACGAGAACGCCTGGCTCGCAGTCTCTTTTCTGATTCATCCCAAAGGTGTTCTGTTGGGTTGAGGACTCTGTGCAGGCCAGTCAAGTTCTCCCAGCCCATACTTATCCATATTATGTACCTTGCTTTGCACACTCATGTTGGAACAGGAAGGGGCTATCCCCAAACTGTTCCCACAAAGTTGGAAACATGAAATTGTCCAAAACGTCTTGGTATGCTGAAGCCTTAAGAGTTTCCTTCACTGGAAATAAGGGGCCAAGCCCAACCCCACTCCAAAATCCCCCTCTCCACCAAACTTTACACAATGCAGTCAGGCAAGTACTGTTCTCCTAGTAACTGCAAACCCAGACATGTCCATCAGATTGATTGAGAGCCGAGCATGATTCATCACTCCAGAGAACACATCTCCACTGCTTTAGAGTCCAGTGGCGTGCTTTACATTACTGCATCCGACGCTTTGCATTGCACTTGGTGATGGAAGGCTTGGATGCAGCTGCTCGGCCAAGGAAACCCATTCCATGAAGCTTTCTACGCACTATTGTGCTAATCTGAAGACCACACAAAGTTTGGAGGTCTTTAGCTATTGACTCTGCAGACAGTTGGCACCTTCTGCGCACTGTGCGCTTCAGCATGTGCTGACCCTACTCTGTCATTTTACATGGCCTACCACTTCATGGCTGAGTTGCTGTTGTTCCCAGTTGCTCCCACTTTGTTATAATACCACTAACAGTTGATCGTGGAATATTTAGTACCAAGGACATTTCACAGGTGGCAACCTATCACTGTACCTCACTTGAATTCACTGAGCTCCTGAGAGCGACTCATTCTTTCACAAATGTTTGTAGAAGCAGTGTGCATGCCTAGGTGCTTGATTTTATACACCTGTGGCCATGGAGGTGATTAGAACACCTGAATCCAATGATTTGGAGGTATGTCCCAATACTTTTCGCAATTAACATTGGCCATTAACATGTACCACCACATGAAAGCCCAATGTGTTCTGAAAGAAACAAGGATACACTAAGTAGTTGTGAGGATATGTACAGTTTTACTAGCATGTCAAAGTTGCAAAATTGGGTTTTGTTTTTAGGGTTTGTTTTGACCTTGATCATGAATGGGTTAAACATGGCTGTATTGAAGTGGGTTAACCTCAGTGCTCCAAAGGAGTGTTTAGTGAAAGTAAACACAATACTTCTGTGTTCTGTTTACATTGAGAGTGATGTCACAAGTGACATCACTGAACACCCATTCACCACAGAGGGTCCAGTAAAGCTGTCATAGTTCTGGCCAGCCTTACAGCAGCCAATCATTGCTATAGTGATCAACTGCAAGCTGATTGCAGCCAGCAATAGATGACCATTCGTTCTGCATGAGTGATCTGGTAAAATCTCTAATGATTGGGGTTAGAAATTTTGTAAGAAATGTAAAAAAATACATTAAAAAAAGAAAACTACACGCAGCATACAATGTGGTTGTTTTCTACACCCTGGAAGCACAGGTGCTGTGTACAACCACCTATAGGTGTAGGTGGCTCTTTGTGGATATACAATACACCAGTACTCATGTAAACACGTATATACCATATGGGCATATTACCATACACTATGCATGTTTTCCCCTCTCGTCTTTCAGGACAGCACTTGAGAGACCTCGGCTTCTCCCTACCTGAGGAAACACCTCCACCCTAAATAAAAAACACTGTCACTCCCCTCCGACCTCAGTTTTGTCTGTTTCCTCCGGTGGGGAGACATCTTTTGGAGGCCTCTCCAGTGCTGTCAGTGGACAGCGGTACCTGGGGTGATGAGCTTGGAGACAGGGCAGTGTGGGGTGAAGGCTGGAGAGCCGGCTGCTATCCCCCAAAGAACGCTGCAAGGGCAGGGCTGCGGCTTCTGGGGGACAGAGGAAAGGCATGTTGCTGGCCCTGGGATAGGCAGGCGGCTTGGTTAAGGGGTGAAAGGTTCCCTGGTTCTCCCCTTGTTTTTTCAGGGTAAATCCCGTGAAAAACTCAAGCATCAGGTGCTTAAGTGGAAATGTCCGTCATGTAAGGCTACCCTCAAAGAATTGTGGAAAAAGGTGCTATGTGGGCCCTGTGTAGAGGGGTTAGTGAGGGAGGAGAGTCCGGTACAGGGAGACTTGGTTAAATCGGTGAAGGAACTGACCAACACCTTTTGACTCCTTCAAAACGCTGGTTGAGAGTTTAGCGTTACCCCAGGCTGTGCCCCGTCCCCCCCAGCAGGTAACTCCATCAACTAGTCGAGGAAAGGAGGGCAGGAGGCTGCAGAAGGTGAGCCATCCTTGGACTCCCAGTCCGCAGAGGATTTGGAAGGGGAGGGCCACTCATGATCCCAGAGTCCCCTCGAGATACAAACAGTCCCTGGAGGAGGTAGATGATTTCTTTGGGGCAATTTATGCCACGCTCGACATTAAGGAGGATAAAAAAAAACCCTTTCTCCGCACGATCAGATGTATGAGGGCATGGAGGAACAAAAGCGGAGAGTTTTTCCCGTGCACAATGCTTTGGTGGATACGATAAGGAAGGAGTGGCAGGATCCTGAGAGGAAGCCCTTTTTTTCTAAATCTCTCAAACGCAGATTTCCGTTTCATGAAGATCCGTCTGCCTTGTGGATCAAAAATCCCAAGCTGGACATGGCATTTTCCCAAATCGCTAGAAAGATGGATTTAGATTTTGAGGACATGGGAGTTTTGCCAGATCTTATGGATAGGAGGGCTGATTCCCTCAAAGAATCGTGAGACTCGATCTTGTCCAATTTGAAGCTCGCCATGGCCACCACGGTAGTAGCCAGGAATATGGAGTACTGGCTCACGCAGTTACAAGCGCACATTGTGGCCGATTCCCCTAAGGATAGGATCCTAGCGTCTTTTGAGACGGTATTGCAGGGGGTGGGGTACATTGCGGATGCTTCGGCGGAGTCAGTGAGGTTATCAGCAAGGTCAGCAGCCCCTACCAATTCAGCCCATAGGACCCTTTGGCTAAAGACATGGCAGGGAAATATCGCTTCTAAAGTGAAGTTATGTGGCATTCCCTTTTCAGGTGATCTCCTGTTTGGGCCAGGGTTAGAAACGGTTTTAGACCGCATGGCGGACAGGAATAAGTCCTTTCCCCTGAAGCGGAACATGCAGGATCAAGGGGGAAGAAAATTTTGTCCCCCAAAGAGACAGGGCCTTAGACCAGAAGTTCAGAAGAGGACATGGGGCAGAGAGGTAAGGGCAAAGGTGGAGCGATATTCCATCCTCCTGAGCAGCCCCAAAAGCTGTGGTGACTTGATTCCTCTGGTGGGAGGAAGTTTGGGGGGGGGACTTCCTCCCACGGTGGGAAGCGGAGGTCTCTAGCCCCTTCGTACTGGACATCATGAGAAGGGGGTACCGCCTGGAGTTCTCGAGGCCACTGCCGCGAAGGTTATTGCTAACAAGCCTGCCCAGATGTCCACAAAAAGCTTCGGCCATACTAGCCTCTCTACGGGAGTTAGAGGAACAAAAGGTTGTAGTTGAGTTCCCAATGCAGAGATAGAGGGTTTCTACTCACATGTGTTCGTGGTCCAGAAACCTTCAGGGGCGTACAGATTGATTTCTTAGCCTCAATCGATT